ACGGTTTATATAAGTTTTGTCAATAAATTGATAAAATATAATATTAAAATTCTGGTATCATTAACAATAATTTAACCATAATATTGTTTAAAATTATGATTTAAAACAAAATAGATTTTTGAATTAATTTGGCTACTCTATTTTTAAAAAAAATTATAATGTTTAATAACATTATAAAATTTTATTATTATTATTTCATTCTTATTTTTTAATAAATTAAAAAAAGAGAATGAAATAATAATAAAGTAATAATTTCCAAAAGATATTTTTTGGTTATTTTTATTGTTTCTTATATTTTTTATAAATTAATCGTTTGATATAATTTATCCTCTTGAGTTTATGTGGTTAACATAATAACAATTTATTAAAAATTATAACTTTTATGCAAACAATATATTTAATTGTATATGTGAATTGTTAAAATAACAAGTATATTATATAATACCATTTAAATAACATTTGGTTGGTAAAACTAATTAAATTTTATACATTTTTAATTCAAAACAAATTGTTTTGTGTAAAAACAATAAACAGAGTTTTTGTTATCGTGATAATCTTTGATAAATTCGAGTATATTTTGTCACATTCGTTTGAATTACGTGGTATATCTATAATGTTTTTTAATTTATTTCATAAATAATAATAGTTTTTGTAATTGTTTAAGTTTATTTCAAACAAAAAAATGAAGGTTAAACTTTAAGATACAAATTATTTTTAAATATTAAATAAATATACTATATGTTTAAGATAATTAATATATTTTATAATATTTTGAAAGCATTTTTTTAAAATTTTAGATGTTTTATTTGCGTATGTCTCATTGTTTTTTTAATTGTTTTTAAAAATATTAAAATTAAAAATTAACGTTGTTCAAAAGTATGACATTTCAAATGTATTATTATTTATATCATTGGTATAAGGTTAAAATCGTTATTTTTTAATATTATTTATTTTTATTGTTTTTATTTCAGTAAAACCTATCATTAATAAATCCCTTATTAAGAAATGTTTCAACTAATCAAAATTTAAAACACATATTAAAGGGAAAAAAAGAAATAATTTCATAACCCACTATGATGGAATCAATTTTTTTTGTTAATCTACTA